TATTGTTTCCTCAAAATCAAAAGCTCATTAGGAAAAAAAATGCAGAAAAAACAAACTCGAGACAGTGTTGGCAAAAGTCCTTATTTCTGGTTCCTAGCACTGTGCCTTCTGTGAAAATGCCTTGAACATGAGAAAACAGAGGTCAGTGGTTCGCCCAAGGTCACAGAATTAAAGGCAGCACTAGGATTGAAAAAAGGCCTCTAAAGTCAAGGTCAAGGAGAGGCCAGGGCCCGGGAGGAGCAGGGCAGAGGAGCCGGCACAGTGTGAGGCAGGGAGGTCACAAGGGAAGCCTCACACCTACAAACCAAGAGTCTTGGCTGGAGCCAGCCAGCCAGCAGGTGTGTGAAACCTCCCTGCACTGGCAAGCAGCTGCCCACCTCACAGGAAGGGCAGCCACTGTGTTCACTAAGGCTATGTCCACAGATCCACTGTTGAGAGAGAAGAGGGCAAGGATGGGAGCCCAAAGGTGGCTAGACTGGGGCTTCAACTGGGTAAGGGGCTGAGGAGGAGAAGAGGAGGGCAAGGGAAATAGAAAGACAGAGCCAATGTGGAGAAACCAAGGCAGGGCACTTTACAATCAAACCAATAACCATACGCAAAGAGATGGTGGGAACTGCAGAGAGGAGCTTCAGGGACACCTACCACCACGGTGCTGGCGGGCCCCAGGTGAATGGGATCCTGGGAGGAGAGGGGGCCAAGGGCTTCTGAGGGAAGTGCAGGGTCCCCACCTGGTAGGTAATGTAATGTGGGGCCAGATCAGACACTCAACAGGGTAGGAGATAACACCCAAGTTCTGTCCAAGGTTGTGTCCCATGGGCAGTGTGTGCCACAGGATAGTTACAAATGTGTGCCTTGGAGCCTAGCCCACTTTGCAGGGCACTTGCCATCCATTTCTGTGCTCTGTACTGTCACATCATGGGGCTATTCACCTCTCTCTTCACCCACTCACTACTCACCCAAGATTGATGCAGTGCCACTTCCTCCTGGCAGTCCTCCAAGATCCCAGGCAGGAAGGACGCCTTCCTTCTGGTATCTCATAGCACCTAGGTGGTCTGTCTGTGTGTCTGTCTCTATCTCTTTTTCTTGTTCCTTTCAATTTGGAGACAGTGTCTCACGTATCCCAGGTTGACCTCCAATTCTATGTAGCTCAAAAATGGCCCTGAACTTCTGATCCTCTTGTCTCTACCTCCCAAGTGCTTGAAATAGAGGTGTGCCCCACCATATCCAGGTTATTCATTGCTGGGGATCAAACTCAGGGACTTTGTGCATGCTACGAAGCACACCACCAACCAAGCTACATATATCTCTAGTCCCAAACCTCTAGTATTGAGTTTCTCTGGGATCCTCAGTTTGGGATGGTTCTCCTGGGAGCCCCCCAGAAACTCAAGTACTCCCTCTTCTGAGAAGCCTTGCTCGAAGCAGGTGTTCTACAGATCTCTGCCATTGCCTAGGAGCTCCTCCATGCTCATTCCAGATTGTGACTAATTTATCTGTTCATTTGCTTTCCTCCTTCCTCCTCCCCTATCCACCTACCCAGACTAAAAGCTCCAGAAAGACAATACAGAGTCTGTGTTGCTCACTTCCACATGACTCAGGCACCTGCTATATTATATGCATGGTCCATAGTAGGTATTCACCCTACTTTTGCTAAATGGCTCTATGATATATAGAAGGTACTCAATATATCTGCTGGTGGAATGGCTGGTTTCTCCCACTATGCCCTGTACACAGTAGGCTCTAGAGAAAGTGGGTCAGGTTGAACAGGTTTAGCCCTGAGTTCTGTATATCACTCACTGCAGGGGGTACTAAGACCCTTTTGTTAGGCATTATGTCTGCCCTGAGATGGTAGCCATTTCCCATGAGGACCCATCTCTACCCCACCTGCTGGGAAGACAGCACCCAGCCTTGCCTGTCTAACAGTCTTATCACCTCAGAGCTACATGAACAACCCTGGGGACAGGTTGGAGCCAGACCCAGGTACCTGTGTTTTTTGCAATTTATCAGTTGACTCTGATCCATAAGGAAGGCTAAAAATCCCCGAAGCAAAGAATGAGAGAGCCCTGACCAGCTGCTCTGACGTGAGCCCCATTCTACTGCAGCTCAGTTGGCAGCATACACCTGGGTGGCTGCCCCACATCACACAGCAGTTGGGCTCTCTGAGTTTGTTAACCACACCCTGATTGGCCCCTATGTGCTGCCAGTGTCTGGGCCAGGCTGGACTGAGCCAAGGCTGGACCTGGGGTGTGTTGTCAGGTCAGGAGTGGAAGGCAGCCAGGACTGGGCATGCCCTTACCTACACCTTCACTTTGTGAAAGGAGAGCTATGACCCTGACCAGGGAAACCTGCCTCTGGCCACATAGTTGAAGACGGCCTTCAGGACCCTGTTGCAGGTCTTCAAAGCCTGGGTTGCTGTGACCCAACCCTGGACTATGGGCTGATTCTGGGCAGAGGTGATAGGATGTAAGTTCTGAGACTGGGTTATAAGGATGCTGGCTTTGGGAACTGGGGGGATAGCTTGGCCAGAAAGGTGACTGCCTTGCAAGAATGAGGAGCTGAGTTCAATTCCAGGCTTGATGGTGCAAGCTTGTAATCCCAGAACTGGGGAGGCTGAGACAAGGGTTCCTGGCATTACCTGGCTGGACAGCCTAACCTAACTGACCAGCTCAAGGCCAATGAGACCTTGTCTTAAAGGAAGTGGGTGACATTTCTGAAGATGAAAACCTGAGGATGACCTCAGGTACTAATGTACATGGGTGCCTGAGCATAAACACACATGCACAAACACACACACACACACACACACACACACACATACACACACACACACACACACACACAATGACACTGTCCTTTCTCTGGGCAAGTCACTGTATACATGAACAACCAGGTGACAACCACAGGAGGAGCTGGCAACAGACCCCTCCTTGGTCATCTCAAGATGACACTGCAACCCTAGCTGGAGGCAGTGGGAGCCACAGCTTGACCACCCTAGATTCCTGTCAAAAAACACACACTGGCTATAGACTGCTAAGTCCTGGGCTATTTTGTTAAGCAGCAATAAATAAACACAAAGATAACTCCTGGATTGACTGCCCTCAGGAGACAGCTCCTCCACAGCCCCCCACCCCTACCCCAAACTCTCGGCCCTCACTGTACCACTCCAGTCCACAATGGGCCCAGGTGACTCATGTCCCCAGGTCTTTACTCACACAGATTCACCCTTAAGAAGTTCTGGGTCACCTATCTAACACATCCCTCTCCCCAGACTTAGCTCTGATGTCCCCACCTCTGAGATACCTCCTGCCTTTTCCTGTGCCCACTGCAGCATGAGCAGTTCCTATGAAAATGAGTGTCAGGTGTCCATCTCCAGTCTTTGTTCATGACAGGTCTGTCTCCCTCAAGAACTGTGAGCTCCAAAGGGCAGGGCCACAGCTGCCTTCCTTTCTGTATCATCTGAGGCTCAGCACAAGGTCTGACACAGTGCAGGATCAAACTGGGAGAGTTTGATGAATGAATAAACAAACACTCTGAGTTCTGTTTTGCATGTTCTGTGCCTCTGTTCCATCTTGGATGTTCTCTTCTAAGGCTGTATTCTTTCCAAAGTCATAAAACTGACCTTGAGCTGGAGATATAGCTCAGAGGTAGAGGGCTTACGTAGCATGTTAGAGGCCCCTGGTTCAACCTTAGCACCTCAAAAATAAATAAATATGAAAAATTAAAAAATAATACAATGGAATGTGTCATCTATCACAAGAAACTGGCCTTTCCCCTCAATTTCCCCATTTTTTTCCTCTGGGAAGCTGGAAGGAATTCCTGGGAGTCCTGCCTTCCGTTTGACCTGTCATTACATCCCATTCCTGCTTTGGGGAGATATCCCTTGGCTGTGGCCTCTGTCTACCAGCATTGTGACACCCAGTATACATGGTTACCATCTCTGAGACTGTTGTGACAGCTTCCCTTGGGAGCCCTACCTCCATCCCTGTTCACCCCACTGGGATCAGAACACTGCCTGCTGGTGTCAGAGGACCGGAGGGAGAAGCCTCAGACAGGGGGACTTTTATCATGGGATCCTAGGAAATCTTCCCTTGTTTTTCAACAGTTCAAACTCAGTCTGGCATTTGAGACACCCCAGCACCTGACCATGACTTCTTATGTCTGCAAATTGCCTTCGTGTTTCTTTGTTATGTGTTACTGCTGTTCATGACCATCTTTCCTGAGATGAACTAACCACGGTGGGTGGTTACAAGGCCAGGCTTTGGAGCCATACTCCTTGGGTAGGACACCCAGATCTCTTGATAACAGCCTGATCTCCCTGACCAAAATTTCTTCAAAGAAAACAGAACTTTCCCGCATGGATTTCCTGTCTCATATGCGCTTGGCACAGAGTAAAAGTGGTTCACAGTTGACGCCTGGTTGGTGGTGAGAACGCCCTTCCCTCTCTGAATCAAAAGTGACCATGGACTTGCTTTGGCCCCTGAAATGAGCAGAGCACGAGGTGTGGACAGCTCCAGGTAGAGGCACTGGGACCCATGTGCCCATTCTGAACAATGGCGCCTCCATCACTTAGCTCCAGAGCACAATCCCAAACTGACCCACAAGGGCCCCTTAGCAACTTGTAGCAATGGGTGATGTTACCTTGTTGCTTCAGCCAGGCCTCGGGTGACTGAGGACAAGCTCAGTAGATGTTAAGATCTTAGCGTCATCATGATGTACCCATTTTTCTCAAACATAAAACCCATCACTTCCACCAACAAGGAAAAGCACCATTAGGGATCATAAGTCATCTCATAATTAAAACAAGGCACCTGTATACCTGCATTATGGCCACAAAACATTGTCCAGGAAGTACTTTTTAAGGGGACTTGGAAAGTCAGCCACGGAAGTCTCAGGGTCACCCCAGGCCTCCCCTCTCGCCAGCTACAGAGCCCAGCTGCCAGACCGGAGCTACAGCAGAAATCCATGCCCGCACCTCTACAGGGCTCCTGCCCCACTGCCCTTACCTCGGCAGACGGTGCCATTCTCCACGGCCTCGAAGCCTGCCTTGCACATGCAGCGTCCAATGGGCACCAGCCACTCGCCGTCCCCATTACAGTACAGCTTGATGGGCACGTCCACCTCTTCCGCATTGGCGATACAGCTGCCCCGGGCAGCCACCAGCGATGTGCTCTCTGCCCCTGAAAGCGTCTCCTGGAAGATGGCACCATTCTGGATGACACGGGGGCATTTGCGGTAGAAGACTCGGACGGCAATGAGGGACATGCAACCACCGTAGTCCTGGAAGGCCAGGTAGAAGCCATTTCGGGACACGGGGCCGAAGCTCCGCACCTCGGTGTTGATCTTCATGACACGGCCACCCAGGTCCACCTGGGAGAAGCTCTCGTCGGCCGCGATGGTGTCCACCTTCACCCAGGGATTCTCCATCCAGTTGGGGAAGGTCTTGGTGGCCGAGTCAAAGTCTGCCTCATAGTAGTAGAGGTTGAAGGTCTCCTTGCAGGAGCCAGGCACACTGGGAATGCTACTGCAGTCCCGCACAGAGAACTTCATCTCCACGTGGATGCGATGGGCGCCACGGCGCCGAATGAACTTGGTCCGTAGCCAGTTATTCTGGCTTGACTCAAAGACATTGCACACCTGGTACGTGCGGATGGTGTTCATGTTCTCGTCGTAACCGCTCACCTCTTCCCACTGTGGGTGAAATGTTAGTCAGGCAGGGGAGATGGAGCTCAGCCATAACAAAAACACTGTCTGATAGGGGAGACACAGACTCTGCCTTGGGAACCCTCCAGTCTGATGATGGAGAGAATTCTCCATCTGACAAAGGAGCCGTGCCCTGGACCTTGAGGAATATCCTAGTCTACAAGGGTCACACTAATATGAAGCACATATCTCTCTCAGTGCTCCCTTACTCCCCATGGGACGTGTGGCCCTGACTGTAAGAGGTTCACTAGTCTGATAAAGGAGCACAGACTGATAAAGGGGCTCAGGAAGGTCCAGCTGGCAAAGATATGGGAGGGGCCTGCCCAGAGGGAGTGCCTTCTGATGCAAGAAGTTGACTGTATGAATAGGGTGTTACCTGTCTGATGGGGGAGACAGAACAGCTGCCCTTGAGAGCTCCCTATCAGATGAAGGAGGTATGATCTTTGCCTTTGGAAACTCCCAGTCTGCTGGAAGAAGAGAGCCCTCACCCCACTGACCTGGAGTAACATGGAAGCCAGGGTCCCTTCCTTAGGGCAGTAACTTCTCTCTGGACTTGTACTGGCTCTCCTCCAGGAGCTGGTGCCACCTGGTTCCTAGAAGGAGCTCACCACCTTCCCTGTCTGGGGGAAAGCCTGGATCCCAGCCTGAACCATCACAACCCAGAGAGAATCATTTAGCCCCCACGCTGCAGGGTGCTGGGCCTCCTGTGGGCAGCTGGGAAGAGCATGGGGCCCTGTCACTTTGCAGACTCTCATCCCCATGGCTGAGTCTCTGTCCAACTCTGTGCCTCCTTTGAGCACTTTTGTTAATCGGCTTTGTTTTGTGCAGTGCTGAGGATGGAGCCCATGGCTTGCATATGCTTAGCAAACACTCTGCCCCTGAGTTACATTCCCAGCCCTCAAGCATCCTGACAGACCTGTCTACCGTGACTGTCCTCGGCCTCGTGATCTCACCAACTCTCCCTGGGACCTTGGGGGATGAAGAACACTAGGCCTCCTTGGTCTGGTCTCCCCAGTGAGTTGGAGAGCATGCTGAGGGCAGCTTTCCTATCCCCTTCTCCTATGCCTCCCTGGTGTGAGGCCGGCACTCTCACCCAAGACCCAAGGCCCAAGGGCCTTCACAGACTCTCATTTCCTTGTCACGATTTCTCACATGTGCCATGTGAGCCCCATTTTGCCGAAGAAGGTAAGGCCACTTGACTCAGGTCACAGGCTTGTCTGGTCTGCCTCAGAACACAGCACCACTAATGATGCCCAATCTTGGGCTATTTCCCTCCCTTCTCTGGGCCTCTATTTCCCAAATTGCTAAATGTGACTGTGGGAATGGCAGGTGATCACAGACATGCCAGTGACTGCTCTTGTGGATTCCCCAGATCATGTCTATTCAGGGTAGAGTGAAGGCTTCCAGCTTGCATGGATCCAGAGTTGGACGCTTGAAGGTGTGTGTCATTGGGAAGGCAGAGCTGGAGCCTCCTGGCCCATCTTCCACCTCAATGGCGACTTAAGTCCCTACATCACACTTAATTTTTTTTTTTTTTGGTGGCACCATGTGACAAAGTCAGCCCCTTGTTACAACTGCTGCTCTTCTTCAGAACTTAATTAGAGCACTTAATTAGAGCACTCTGCCTTTCTCCCCTCTCTCTAATTAACATGCGGAGGCCCTGCAGCCCAAACACCCCAAATAATTGCGTCCGGGGGCCCTGCAGCCCAGCCTGGCCTCATTACTGGCGGGGTGGGGCCGTGGGCCCAGCAGCCTTCGCAGATGGAAAATTGGTGACAAGAAAGAGGCACAGAAAGAGGCCTGACCCTGGGGCCCTGCCTATTGAGAGCAAGGCCTCAGGAGAGGGGTGTACAGATCCCTGAGGTTGCAGCTGAGTCCCCTGGGAGGACTAGGGTGGGGGTGGGGAGGATGGCCTGTGGAATCCAGAGCCTCCTCCTTGGGGAGAGGAGGAGTGAATACTAAAATTGACGATGGTGACAATGGTGATAATTATTGTAGCTACTATTAGGGGCCAACCTGTGCCAGGCTCTATGTTATACACTCTACAGGGAAACCTCACAGTGGCTGTAGGGAGGGCACAATCATCACCATGAGATGAGGAGCTGCCCCATCCTCTCTGCTGATCAGTGTGGTATTGAGATAGTACTAGGGAGAGAGAAGAGTGGCACACCTAGCCTCACCTTGCTCTCAGAAGATTCTGGGGACAGATGTGGGCTCTGATTCTACCCAAGGAATTCGAGAACTCCAGGATGGGTGGGAATGTAGGTCAGTTGGTGGAATGCTTACCTAATGCAAAGACCCTGAGTTCCGTCCCCAGCACAGACTAAAACTGGGCATGGTGGTGCACACCTGTAACCCCAACACCCAGGAGACAGAGGCAGGAGGATCAGAAGTTCAGGGTCATCCTTGGCTATATAGCTAGTTTGGCTGGCTTGGGATACAAGAGACCTGTCTCAAAATAAAATAAAACAAACACAAAAGAATCCAGTGATACATACAGATGGGAGCCTTGTGTTATAGGCATCCAAAGTTGGGGTGGAGAGGATTTGGTCCCTGATACAAACTTAATACCCAGTTGAGATGGAGCTCTGTGGTAGAACATTTATTCGAGGCCCTAGGTCTGATCCCCAGCACCGAAAAACAAAACTACAAGCAACCTTGAGTCCCTTCATTAGTAGCTGCCAAGCCTTGGCAGATGGATATATCTGTCTGATCTTCATTTTTCTCCATAGTGAAGGGAGGCGAGAAGACAGGGTATATAAGGTACATGATATGGTCTCTGACCCAGAACAGGTCTTAGGAAGTGCATTTTCCTGCCCCGAAATGGATACTGCATGAGTGCCTACTTCTCAGCCTTGCCCCGAGGACTCCATAGTATCAAGGGCAAAGCATCCAGCGTGCTGTCATAGGAACAGGTGCACCATCAAGGGTAAGGATGGGAGGGTGGGATGTGAGAGGCCCCAGCTCTGAGCCCTAAAAAAAGGAAAGGGACTGGGATGTGACATTGAGGCTGACAGTAGACCCTGAGGCATGCTGGGGAGCCAAGCAAGGTTTGAGGGACCAGGACTCACCCCTGATGGAGGATGCACCATCCAGCCAAGCTCAGCCGTCGCTGTAGTAGAATCCATCAACGTTTCTGTGGGAAGAGCAAAGAGTCACCACCTGCCCCACCTCCCAGCACTGTCAGTCACTCTGCTGGGGCCCCTCAAGGTCCTTCCTTACAGGTCGTCCTCTAATTCTCCAGACCACCCATCCTTTAGATGCGGCCTAGTCCATGCTCCCACCAGCAACGGGGGTCGTCCTTCCCATCATGTCCCCATCCCTGAGGAGGGACGTTTCTGAAAGCAGGCATCCAAGTGCAGACACTCAAGTCAGTGTCAGAACCAGCTGAATGGAGGAGCCACACAGCTCAGAGGGAAGGAGATCCACCCGCCTAGAAATCCCCTTAACCTCAGGTCACAGTCAAGATCCTCCCCTTTAGCCCATCCCTATCAAAGGGCTGTCAAAATAGTTTGAACTAAATTGCAGCACATTGGATGGATTGACACAAATACCTTTCAAGCATTCATTCAACAAATATATCCTAATGCCCATTATGTGCCAGACACTGGCCTGGGTACTCCAGGAGAGAAGAAAATGACCAGCAAGACTCTACCATAAGGAGGCTGGTGAGAGAGATGGATCAGCAGGTAAAGGTCTTGCTGCTCAAAACTGATGATCTGAGTTCAGTCCCTGGAACCCATGTTGGAAGGAGAGAACCAACTCCAAAAATTGTCTCTGACTTTCACACGCATGCAGTGACATGGGCAACCCTCCCACAATAATAATAAATAAATAATTTTTTAAAAGACCCTGACTAGGGGCTGGAGAGATGGCTCAGCAGTTAAGAGCATTGACTGCTCTTGCGGAGAACCTGGGTTCGATTCCCAGCACCCACATGGCAGCTACAAACCATCCTTAACTCCAGTTCCAGGGGAATCCGATGCCTTCTTCTGCCCTCCGTGACATCTCACAATGCGGGTGCACTCATATACATGCAGGCAATACACTCATACACATAAAATAAAAATAATAAAATATTTTTTAAAAAGACCCTGATAGGTATGGTGGTACACTCCTTTAATTCCAGAACTCAGAAAGCAGAGGCAGGGACATCTCTATGAGCTCGAGTCCTGCTTGGTCTACATAGTAAGTTTCAGGCCAGTCAGTGCTACACAGTGAGACCCTGCCAAAACAAGATAAAATAAAATAAAATAATTGGGTGTGGTGGCGCACACCTTTAATCCCAGCACTCGAGTCAGAGGCAGGCAGATCTCTGTGAGTTTCAGGCCAGCCAGGGTTACAGGGTGAGATTCTATCTCAAAAATAAATTAATTGATTAAATAAATAAGGCTACTATGGAGCGATTCATAGACTGGCGATGGAGATGAGGTATACCTAGAAATGGCAATGGGAGAGTTATCAGAGAGATCTAGACTCTCCCAGTGGGACTTTCCAAACCACCTAAGGTGGGAAGCACACTTTCTGCTATGCGCCAATTCTGTGTCCAGTACAGGCATTATTAATCAATATCCAGACGATGTGGCCATGTCTGTACCCACTGTAGGCATCACGAATCAATCTCTGTACTCTATGGCTGCTGATTACTTCCACCACAGAATTCTAGGAAATGAATACCGACCATCCGAGATAATTCCCTGGTCTTCCCAATGGCCTCATTGTGAAGAGGGGGCAGCTAAAGCACAAGAAGGGACTTCCGGAAGATCACACAAGAGCGGGTGGCGGAATGTGACACACAGGTGTCCTGCTACCCTCTCTCTCTGTTTCTAGGCACTCGAAATTATTAGCCTTTTGGTCTAGGCTAGAGCATCAGGCCAGGAGAGGGTCCAGGCTGCAGAGAAGGGAGGTAATGAGTGTGAACTCTGACAGGGTGGTGAGGACAGAGGGCGGGGAAGGGAGGATTGTCTGGGCAGAGGTGACCCCAGCCAGACCTCTGAGCTGACAAGACAGGCTGCAGAACCCCATGACTGCCTGGGGCTTGTGTTTGTGGTCACCATGTCCCTTTGCACTGGGAGGGGGAGAGGGGTGCGGGGGGGGCGGTGCCAGGGACAGTGGGAGCCAGTGCCAAGGGCATCTTTTTGATGGCAAATTGGGGGGAAGTTCCATTGTGCAGCTTTGGAGCTGAAAGAACGTTCTTTTTCACACTCGAAATGCTACAGATTCTTCTTCCTGGGGAGAACAAGGGCTGAACTTTTAACCTGTTTTCTCTCATCGGACTCAGCCAGAGACGCGCCAAGCCGGGCTCTCTGCCTGGGCCCGGCAAGCAGCTGCTGGGGGCAGGGAGAGGGGAGCCTCTCCTGGGACAGAGTGGGGTCAGATGGGAGGCCAGCCCGCCAAGCAGGTGGCCCCACCCCTTGGCTGGATTCCTGGGCTGACCCCAAGGAAGAGCATTAGAAGATTCTGTGGCCCAGAGGAGGAAGGGCTGGGAAGTGACGATGGAAACTCGGACCCGGGTGATACAAATGACATACTACAAAAGCACATTCTACATTAGGGCTTAAATCAGGTTCCCCAGAAGTCCAGGCCACTGTCCCCCACCCACCACACTGGCCAAGCTGGTGTGCTAGAGGAGCAAGAAGATAGTTGCTTCACCCTAAGAAAGAACACAGAGGAGGGGAAAGGTAGGTTGGGGGCAGGAGCAGGGAGCCCTCCTTCACTCCCGCCTTGCCTGGGACCCCGGTTTTCTGTAATCCTGGCTCTGTGGAAGCTGTGATCTCCTGGGCTGTGGCAGGAGGAAGCACATGGCTGTTCTCTCCCAGACCCACCCTGGCTAATTCTGATGGTGTCTTCTACCCTCTGCCTGTGCAGAAGCAGATGAGCGGAGTGGGTCGCACGACCTTTGTTTGTTTGTTTTTGTTTTTGAGACAGGGTCTCCCTATGCAGTCTTGGCTAGCTTAAAACTTGAGCTAGGGTCAGCTAGATAGCTTAGCAGGTAAAGGTGCCTGCTGCCAAGGCTGGAGACCTGAGTTTGACCTTCAGAACCCGCATGGTGGAAGGAGAGGACCTCCACATGTGCAACTTGATGTGGACGCACAAGCAGCTTGATGTGGACGCACAAGCAGCACTAAATACATAAAAATACTCTGCGTGTGTGTGTGTGTGTGTGTGTTTTAAGAACTTGACTGAGCCGACCTAGGCTGAACTGACCTAGGCTTTGCAGTGATCCTCCTGCCTCTGCCTCCTGAGTGATAGGCATGTACCACCATGCTCTGGTGAGACTTTAACACAAGTTCTCTCCTTTGTTTGTCTTGCAATCTTCTCTTTCTCTTGCTCTGGGATTGAATCCAGGTCTTTGTACATTCTAGGACAGCATTCCACCACTGAGCTACATTCCCAGCCCTTTTTGTACTTTTAAAAATTTTGCAACAGTTGCCCAAGCTGCCCTTGAACTTGAGATCCTTCTGCCTTAGGCTCCTGAGGTGCTGGCATTACAGGTATGTGTCACCAGGCCCTTGTGAAGTTTGGTCTTTCAAAACTTCAGTTTTCTCACCTGAAAACTGGTCAAGATACCTTCCGAGTATGGACAGACACAGACCATGAGCAGCACTTGCCAGCTAAGCAGTACTTAGGAGGTACTTGGTAAAGGGCAGTAACTGCCTCAGGTGCAGCTCGGGGCTCCCAGAAACACCCAGTGCGGTGCACATTCACCACCGCCTCCAGGCTCATAAGGTGGCCCTTTGCAAACACAGCCCAGTCCACCTTGCTTCCCTGTCACAGAGGACAAGCATCAGCTGTTGCTGGACAGTCACAGCCTCCAAAGAGCCCTTCCCACCCCATCTGAGGCTGCTTCCCTGAGACACCCCGGATTCTTTGTTCAGCTCAAACCAGACACCGAAGTCAGACTCATTCCTTGGGAAATCTGGAGATCATAGCTCTTGCCTCGATACCTAGGTGGGCTCAGAAGCAAAGCCCAAGTTCTAGCACCAGCACCTCCTTCCTCCTTTCCATAGTGCCCCAGATATCTCACTAATCCCAAAATCTACAAAGAGAGAGAGAGCTTCAAGCCCATGAAGACCCCATTAATATGTGGAAGCCAGACATGGTCCCCCATTAAAACACGGGCACACCTTAATCCCAGCACTTGGGAGGTAGAGGCAGGAAGATCAGAAGTTCAAGGTTATCCTCAGCTACGCAATGAGTTCCATGCTAGCCTGAGTTCTAGGAGACCCTATTTCAAAATAACAACAAAAAAGGCAGGCAAGACAACTCAGCAGGTAAGGGCACTTGTCACCAAATCTGATGCCCTGAGTTCAATCTCGGGGGACTCACATGGTAGAAGGAGAGAATCAACTTCCTCCCATAACTGTTCTCTGACATCCACATGTACATCATGGCACATGCACACTCACACACATACAAACTAAATAAATGCCAATGAAAAGCATTTTTTAAAGAGTCAGAAATTCAAATCTGTCCATTTCACAGATAGGAAGACCAAGGCCTGCAAAGATTCAGGAATTTGCCAGGTTGCCCATCTTTTACACTGATAAGCTGTACTCTAGGGGCATAGACCATATGGTGTGCTCTCACTCCCCCCCCCCGCCACAAACTCCTCCTTCTGTCCCTCTCCCCTTCACACCTTATCTGCCCCACTACTCTTCACCTGTGATGTTCCTAAGTCAAGTTACCTTATGGTAAAGTCCTCTTGAATCCATTCACCCCACAGCTTCTGGTGTTGGGAAGACCCAGGACTTACTAAGAGGCCAGGGTGGCAACTGCCCTTGTTTACCACCCTCTCCCATTGGTCTGTATGTCCCTGAAAGGTGGGTGTAGGTTCCCCAGGATCCAGCATGAGGCTTGGCACGTGGGACATCCCCTCACCCCATCAGTCAGACTCAATACTTGCTGGAGTCCTGCAGCTGTGCACACTATATCCTGTCAACAGAGACAGGACCTTGGCCGTCTTGCCTTCAACCTGAGCTAGGGTTGTTATGATTCATTTACAATTTTTCTTCCAATTGACTTTTTTTTTCTTAAGTGCATTTTAAAGAGGAAAAAAGTCCTCATTATTATAAATGGAAAACCAGTGTTCCTGGTGTAAGAAGGAAAATAAACTTGAGTCTTACCACTCT